CCAAAAAGTTAAAAAAAAGGGGGGGGGGGGGGAAAGAGCAAAGGCTTACCAGAATTACATGCGAAGTCATTTTGTCGCCATCATCGAATGACACACATTCGTGCCTATAATGAGAGTCTTATTATTGTTTGAGTAATTGCCTCAGAGAAATGTGAAGAATTGATTCTTTTATGCTATACATGTATGCCAGAGGTCCCCAACCTTTTTGAGCCTGTGAGGCCCTCTGGATTTCTGACACAGTGTGGTGCTCATAGCCACAAAATTGCTGGCACAGCTTGCCTTCAGTCACACAGTGAAGATCCTTGTACTGTGGTGACAGCTGCTGCCAAAGCAACGTTTTTAAAATCTGCACGGTCAATCAAATTTCCAATGGCCAATCAGAAGTCTTGCTTGGCAAAAGCAATACCTGGCCCTGCCCACTTTCCACCAGAAACAGTGTTGGTAGGCATCATGTTGGCAACCCATTGTGTCAGCTTAACTTAGCACTGCCCATAGCATAGAGCTGGAAAAAAGTTTACATTTCATACCACCTGTCTACCCGGCACCCTTCTCTCTTGGTGCCATGGTCTCCAAAAGTGGAGCAACTTATGCTCTGAAGGCTAAACGGTACAACTTTTGGTTTGCTAGTTCAGCTATCACGGAAATCGCAATTGATAAAAATTATGGTTTACATGCATACTTTGAAATACTAGTTTCTGATTCTGGTTTGCCACTGATAGCAAATCATGGCTGGGCAATTTCAGACATCACAGATCAATCTCTGTGGTAAGCATGAACTTAGCTAGTGGCTGTGCTTCAGTACACCCTCCTATCTCTTGCACAATGAACACAGAAGGAAGAAAAAGTCTCTGTCTAACTACAATTACTCATGACGTTTGAGCTCATGGATAAACTGGAGTTTGTTTCCAACAAACTGGGATTGAAAAACTATGAACTGTGGTTTCTAATCTTGATTTGTGAGGGAAAAGAACTCTGATTTGTCCAGGCATTCACATTCAGATATAGCAAGGAACAGCAAAACAACAAGTCCAGAGAAGATATCCAACACTTTTCCTAGGTAGTTTATAGTATGCACCTCACAGGGTTGTTTCCTAAGTATAATGTATTTTAGACTCTTGGAGTACCACATGCATATTAACATTTAGGAGACCTGGCCCAAATTAGGGATGGAATGTTCCACCTGGAGTTGGCAACTCCTAGTACTTTAGTATTTTTACAATAAGAGGTTCTATAACTTTAAAACTAATCAGGACCAATGTTCCCTCTAAGCTGTGGAGTCCTGTGAGCAAAAATTCTACTTGGTGAGCTACTGGCATTAAAGTTGTGAACAAGCCATTTGGCTACTGCATACATTAGTTTGCTCTGGAGCCGTCCTTCCTGAGCTAAAACAAAAATGTGTGAGCCGGAGGCTAAAAAACTGTGAGCTAGCTCACACTAACTCAGCTTAAAGGGAACACTGATCAGGACACTATCAGCTGCAATCAATGTGGTTTCAGAAAGCTGTCCCAGTAGGCCGGATACTTTGAGGCATGTTTGGTCCTGTTTACATAGAAGCAACCCTAGAGGTGCATATCAAAACTTAGGAGACCTAGCCCATGCGAGTATATACTGGCGGTTTTATGGTCTATATATTATGCTATGTATTTATATTCTTTATTCTAAGGAGTTACTCTCTTTTACAGAGAAGTTGAATAACATCATCCTGTTAAGAAACTAGTATGAGACTTCCTATTTTGGGAAATAAACATGAGACTCTGTGTAACAGTGATTATATATTGTTATTAAGCATCATTGTTTAGAAGCTTTATTGTTATAAAGCATTGTTGTATTTTATACTTTTACAATTTTGTACTTCTATAGTTCTTTGTTCCTGAGGAAGGACCAGAAGTTTGAAACACTATAAACTACCTAGGAAAAGTGTTGGATATCTTCTCTGGACTTGAGCATAACTCATTAGCATATGCCACACTCCCTGACATCACCGGAAGTGTGTCCTCCCCACAGCCGGCGGCGACCTCCAGCGGGCACCAGCAGGGAGCTCCAGGCCCCGCCCTCCCGCACCTCACCCGGGGGGATGGGGGTATTTCAGCTCACAGTTGTTTTGCTGTTCCTTGCTATTCACATTCAGATGTCACAACTAGCTGGAGTTACTTGAAGACATTAGTCTTCTATCGCCATGGCCACACGAGAGGAGAAGGGTTTGAAGAATAATGAGCATAACCATTAACCAGGTTTGGACATATTACAAACTGAGGTTTATTTGTGACTCCTGAAAGCAGCTCGAATCAAGCCATAGGTTCCATTACCATAATTTAGTTGAATTGAGCCACAGCATACCACACTACCAAAGCTCACTTGACTATTCAGATAACTTTTAAGCTAGAAGATTCTCTGCTATCTCAGTTCATATACTTGAAATTATTAATACAGCAGAAAAGGACATGATGCTTTTATACTCTAAAGACCTCAAATTATAAGCTTGAATAAAATAGACATTTGGACATTTGCAATACCTATCTGACAACAAATATTAATTCGTCAAGACCTGAAAACTGCTTCCAAAGGTAACCTGTTAAAAAGAATGTTACTTGTTTTCTCTGAATTGAAGCATTTTGATAGCTACAAACAAAAGTTAAGGTTAAGAACAAATACTGTCAAGGGTATTTAGTTCTCAAATATTGTCACATATGCTGAAATACATACGTATCTTCAAGGGACCCTTCAGCTTCTCCTCGTCCATTACATGGCTTCAACAATATGCCTATTACCTGTTGAGCAAAAAACCAGAGACTTCAGCATAATAGTTCACGAAGGCTAAGACATTCATATTTGCATGCCTGCAAGAAAGAAAGTTAATTTTATACGTGGATTAAAGTCAAATAAGTTTCTATATTCCAAGAACTGTAACTCCTTTACCTTCAAACATGGGAAGAGCACAACATATCAAAGTAGATAAACATACCACATATCAACCTTCTCATTTTTTGGCCCATTTGTAGCTTTTGGTAAGCAGGTTTTTGAAACCTGAGCACTGAAATGTACTAGTCATAGATCAAATCTGAGGCCTGGATATCAGGATAAAATAATAGTGACAAACATGTTGAGGACTTGTCCTCGGCTTATGTAAAATGAAACAAGTCTGTTGGACTTTCTAAAAGGTACTATTAATCCTTGTTACTAAATAAAGCAGCAACAAGGGTTGAATGAGATGCAAAGCTGCTGGCAACAAGCACACTAAAGCAGCAACTGAGTAGCACCAACCACATTTTGCTCATTTGTTAAACCTTAGTAACAAGGTCAGACCACTCCAAGGTTAAGTCTGCCAGTTTTTACTCTTAAAAACTGTTTTTAGTCTTTTACTCATACCTCACCTGCCTCATTTTAAAAAGGCATTTTAATGGCTTTTGTAATTTCTAAAAAGCTGAAAATCATGAAAAGTTATGAAGTATATCAGTAGTGGAAAAAACGGAAACTTTTACAGAGCCATTGTAGCCCATATTAAACTTTCCACAGCTTGCACAACCCATGTGGATAGTTTGGAAGAAAAGTGTGCTAACATAGGAATATATCATTACAATTAATTCACAACATGGGCAAGTCTGTGCATACTTAAAATTCACAGACTGGTGCTATGAACAGACCAAACAGTTCTTTCTAAAACCTGAGAAAAGCCCTAGGTTTGCAGAAAAATCTGAAATTTAAAAACAAACTCATTGGGGTTAATCCCATCCCCTAAATAATAGAAGCAGCACCTGCACCTTTAAAAAAGGAGATCCCAATGGCCACTGTAGAAGTTGCTAGGCAACCACAATAGCATTGCCATTCTTCAAGGCTGTTTATCATATTCTTAAAAGGCAGGGAGGCCATGATAAGACTTGGATGGCCCAGCCTAGACACATCTTGTCAAATCTCAGAAGCTAAGTAGGGTCAGGCCTGGTTAGTATTTGGATGGGAGACCACCAAGGAAGTTCAGGTTTCTACACAGAGGCAGGCAATGGCAAATCATCTCTGCCCTCGGAAATCCCCTAGAGGACCATCCTAAATCGGTTGCCGCTTGACAGCATTTTCCACCATCAAAAGGTGGGGGAGAGCAAAAGCTGGTTATCCTTTGAGGGAGGACTCATATGGGCTGGACCAGGCCAGGCAGCAACCACCCCGTCCTCCCCACCAAGGCAGGCTCAGGGTGGTTTACATAAAAATTTAAAACATCTAAAATAATACATATATAAAAACCAATCATAAAGTGCTAGTGTGCAATGATATATATTGATGGCGAAACATAATAACAAGTCATCTTAATAGCAGATCGCTCCTAATGGGGTACAATCAGCATTGATGTAGAACTATCTCGATCCCTTCATACCAGCAATACACAGGCTACGACGGTATTACCAGGGCACAGGAATCCCATGGTACAGCTCCTTGATCGAATGCCTGGTGGAAGAGCTCCATCTTACAGGCCCTGCAGAACTGTAAAAGGTCCCGCAGGGCCCTGATGTCCGCCGGGAGCTCATTCCACCAGCGCGGAGCCACCACCAAAAAGGCCCTGGTCCTGGTCGAAGCCAGCCTGGCATCTTTGGGACCTGGGAGAGCCAGACGGTTCTAAGACCCTGAACGCAGTGCACTCTGGTCCTTAAGGTATGTAGGCCCCTGACCATAAAGGGCTTTAAAGGTAAGAACCACCACCTTGAAGTGAACTTGGTGTGCTATAGGTAGCCACTGCAGTGCTTTTTAGCTCAGACTGGATGTGCTCCCGCATGGGAAGGCCCAAAAGCAGCCTGGCTGAAGCATTTTGCACCAGCTGAAGCTTCCAGATTTGGGTCAAGGGTAGCCCATTTAGAAAGCATTACAGTAGTCTAGTCTCGAGCTTAACATTGCATGGCTCGCTGTTGCCAAGTCATTGCGTTCGAGGAAGGGAACCAACTGCCTAATCAGCGAAAGATGGTAAAAGGCTAACTTAGCAGTGGCTGCTACTTGGGCCTCCATCATTAGGGAGGCATCCAAGAGCACTCCCGGATTCCTAACCTCCAACACTGGGACCAACAGTGCCCCATCAAAGGTCGGGAGTGGGATCTCTAACCCCAGGCCATCCCAACTTAGGCTCAGGACCTCCGTCTTTGTCGGATTCAATTTCAGTCGGCTCAGTCTACGCCAACGAGCCACAGCTTGTAGTGCCAGGTCCAGATCTTCCGGTCTGGAGTCAGACTGGCTGCCCAACAACAGACAGAGCTAGATAGAGGCTTGCATGAGTCACTCAGGCCTGGCTGCTTGCTACTATTCAACAACAGCCAACTCACAAAGCCAGTGAAGTGTAGTGGTCAGCATTTCAGTCTAGGATCTGGGAGATCCAAGCTCAAATTTCCACTCTGCTACAGAAGTTCATTGGGTGATCTTGGAATAGTCACACATTCTCAGCTTAATTGAGATCGTTTGGTGTAGGGGTTAAGTGTGTGGACTCTAATCTTGGAGAACCGGGTTTGACTCCCCACTCCTCCACTTGCACCTGCTGGATGACTTTGGGCAAGCCATAGTTCTGGCACAGCTGTTCTTGAAAAAGAGCAGTTTCTGTCAGAGCTCTCTCAGCCCCACCTACCTCACAGGGTGTTTGTTGTGGGGAGGGGAAGGGAAAGGAGTTTGTAAGCCGCTCTGAGACTCCCTTGGGTAGTGAAGGGTGGGGTATAAATCCAATCTCTTCTTTTCTTCTTCTTAATTTACCTCACAGAGTTGTTGTGACGATAAAATAGAAGAGAGGAGAATGATATAAGCTGTTTTGGGTCCTCACTGTGGAGAAAGGTGGGGTATAAATGAACTAAATAAATAATACATATAGTTGAAGATGTGTGTGGCACCACCGCCTGGGCAAAGGAGGAGTCTTTGCCCCCAGTCACCATTCCGAAGAAGGCCGTTCCCCCCTTTAAAGGGGAACAGGAGACCTCAGAAACAGGGCCGGCTACCTGGTTCCGTCACCAAGGGTAAGCCTAAACCCAGGCGAGAGCAATGGGGGACGCCCGCCACGTCGTCTCTCTCTTCGACTCCTGGCCGGCGCATCCCCGTTCTCAACTCCGTCCTCTTCCTCCCCGGTATCCCTTCTCGTTCCCCTTATAATCCTGTCTCCAACCCCCTCCCTCCTCCCTACTGGACACTTGGGTGTCAATCTCAGCTGGCCCCGCCTCCGTATAAGAGCTCCAACGCTCTGCCAGGGGTGGGGGCGTTTCGACCCCGCCTGGAGCAGAGTGCGTTGAGGCCGTCGCGCGGAATGGCCACCTGTTGGAGTGCGAAGCCCTGTGGGCAACAGCGGCATCTTCCGGGGACCCACCCTCTCGCTGCGTACCCGGGGACGTGCTCTCCGGGGAAGGGGCTGAGCTGCAATCGGGCCTTTGTAGGTCTCGCTGTATCGCGGTCAGTTGGCTTGTCTTGCCCTTCGGGGCCCGGGTATTCCTCCTGGAGGCTGTCGGCTGCGGTAAGTGGGGGAGGTGAGAGCTCGGGCAGGTGCTCGAGGGAGAGGCCCGGACTGACAGGGCCGGGACAATGTGGGACAGTATAAAAGGTAGGTTGGCTGGTTTGTGGGCATGAAGGAGATAAGGTAGCAGAGAAAGATGAAGATAAGGGGACTGCCAGGAAGATGAAAAAAGGACATCGTGAGGAGGGAATACAGGGGGAAATGAGGTCCCCCTTGCGGCTGCCCCAGTGTGTAATGGGTCCGGGCCCAGCCAGAACCATGTAATTGGGACCAGACCAGATCATGCAACTTAACTAGACTTTCCCCAGGACAGGCTTCCAGGAGCAGGGAAACCTGAAGACATGGGCGTCAGTAAAGGCAAGTTGGCTGGTGGAAGAGAAGGAAGCAGGAAAGAGGGAGCAGCATAGAAACTTTCAAAGAAGGGAAATAGGAAATAGTGAGGAAGAGGAAAATGAGATGCCCCCTGCAAATCCTTGCAGGTAAATACATAATTGGAAATACATAATTGCTTTAACTGGCTTTAACTGCTGCTATTGTGATAGTTTATTGCTTAGAATTATTAAAACTATTTGTCAGAACCATCAGAAATATTATATTTGTTCTTAGTCTTACTGTTCTACTGATTTTATTGTCCCATTATACTGTTTTTTTATTTTGCTGAACTACTTGAATGAATTTTATTGTTACAGCACATAGCCAGCAATTATAAAAAACCATAAAAGTAACTTACAATAACCAAATGGTAAAACTACTTTAAAAACAAGAAGGTTACTAAGGAACAAGAACATTGATTATGAGGTGGCCTAAAAATTATACAAATAACTAATGCAGTTCTCAGCAAGTGTAGTGCCAGGAAGCACACTAGTTCTGTTGTTGTTGTTTTTAGGATCCTTACGTCACCCTAGATACTGAGCAGATTTCACATTATTTAAAGACAATGTAGTATCAGCAGGCCCACCTAAGATGGTGAGTCTGCAGTGCACATGAAAATGCCTAATCTGAGTCAGACAACTAGTCTATTAAGGCCAGTACTGTCCACTGTGAATAGTGGTGGCTCCCCATGGTCTCTCCTCATAGCCTAATCAATTACTGCTTGATCCTTTTAACAGGAGATGCTGAGGACCGAATCTGGTATCTTATGCATGCAAAGCAGATGTTCTACCACAGAGCTATATCCCTTCCTTCTCTAACAATGCAGCAAGTAGGAGCAGTACAATACTCTATTAGTCCTCTAATAGTGCAGCAAACTATTTCGCTACTGGCTACAAGCTATATGTTGCAAGTTGAAGTTGCATGTCTATGGAAGCATCTAAATCACCCAGGAGATACTCACAGACAGCCTAGATACAGAACTTAATACACTTTTCAAAATGGCCCTAAATACAAATGCAGAAGTTACCAAGGAGGCCTTAGAGCCATATATGGATTTTTCAACTCTGGCTTACAACATAGTAAACTCAATGTCACTTGTATGGCAAAGACACAATAAAGTCTATCTTTTTCTTCACTCTTTGTACCTTATTATGTCAAACCATGTTGATTTTACCATATGGGCTATAGTAAGAAACATGGGAGATGAACCTTTGTTGTTGTTGTTCAGTCGCACAGTCGAGTCCGACTCTTTGCGACCCCATGGACCAGATCACGCCAGGCCCTCCTGTCTTCCGCCGTCCTCTGAACTTGGCTCAATTTCATGTTCGTTGCATCTATGACATTGTCTAACCATCTCATCCTTTGCCGTCCCTGTCTTCTTTGACCTTCAATCTTTCCCAGCATCAGGGTCTTCTCCAGTGAGTGCTCCCTTCTCATTTGGTGGCCAAAGTATTGGAGCTTCAGTTTCATTATCTGGCCTTCCAGGGAACAGTCAGGGTTGATTACTTTTAGGATTGACTGATTTGATCTTCTTGCAGTCCAAGAGACTCTCAAGAGTCTTCTCCAGCACCATAGTTCAAAAGAATCTATTCTTCGGCGCTCGGCCTTCCTTATAGTCCAACTCTCGCAGCCATACATGACTACTGGGAATACCATTGCTTTGACCATGTGGACTTTTGTTGGCAGGGTGATGTCTCTACTTTTTATCATGCTGTTTAGGTTCGCCATCGCTTTCCTCCCAAGGAGTAGGCATCTTTTAATTTCATGGCTGCTGTCACAGTCTGCGGCGATCTGGGATCCCAGGAACGTGAAGTCTGTCACTACTTCCATGACTTCCCCTTCTATTTGCCAAAGAGTGATGGGGCCGGATGCCATGATCTTAGTTTTTTTGATGTTGAGCTTCAAGCCCACTTTTGCGCTCTCCTCTTTTACCCTGAGTAAGAGGCTCTTTAGGTCCTCTTCACTTTCTGCCATTAGAGTGGTATCATCTGCATATCTGAGGTTGTTGATCTTTTCCCCAGCAATCTTAATTCCCGCTTGTGATTCATCCAGGCCAGCATTTTGCATGATGTACTCTGCATATATATTAAATAAGCAAGGTGACAATATACATCCTTGCCGTACTCCTTTTCCTATGCGAAACCAATCAGTTGTTCCATATCCGGTTCTAACTGTCGCTTCTTGACCCTTATGGGAGATGAACCTAATATACAGAAACTTTATCGTTGGGGGGGGAGGACAGATTTTTTTGCAAGATGCACTAACAGTTTGCACTTTTATCCCCAACTCTGGCTCAATTTGCAGCAGTTTATAAATGTCTTCATTTTACTCACGTTTACCTTTCATAAGCACAGCATACTACATTGTGGTATATACTGCAACAGAGTGGATCCTTCCCTATCAGCCCCATCCCTAGCAGCCTGCAGCTCGTCCTGAAAACTCTCTGTAGTTCTGGAGGGTCCTTCTGAACAAAATGCACCATAATTCATGGGACTCCAGGGAGGAGGGAGAAACTGGGTGAAACTGCCAACTCCTCCTCCCTGGGTTGTTTTAAGATGCACACTCTTAAATTTTTCTGTACTACAAACAAATTTGGGAGTGTGTGATTAATGCAATCACAGTAGCAAAGTTTGTTCTCCAAACAACCACTTAAGCTTTCTATATGGTCTAATGAAGACTTCGTACAATTCAAAAGTTTCAATAAAACCATATCAATATATCTAATTCTCAACATGGCCAAATACATGGACTGGAGCCATGAACAGACAAGACAGATCTTTCTACAAACCTGAAAATGCCCTAGGTTTGCAGAAAGAATCTTAAAATAAATAAATAAATAAATAAATAACAGTACCTTTAAGAAATGAATGCCCTCAGTGACCACTTGTAAGCAACCACAACAGTAATGCCAGCCCTCAAGCCCAGTAAAAGCAGGAGAAGGGGCAGGATTCTTTGCAGGGCTGTTCTGGCTTCTGAGGGAAGACTCACTGGGGCCAGGCCTAGCATCAACCACTAGATGACTTGCTATCAACAGACTTCCATGAGTCACCCAGGCCCAGCTGCTTGCTACTGTTTAACAGCAGCTACCCTCCAAAAGCCAATGTAATGCAGAGGTTGGTAGGTGAGAAGGAGAGAAGGAAGCAGGGAAAGGTAAGAACATAGGGGTTACTAGGAGGAGGAAAAGAGGATATAATGGGGGGAAGGGGATACAGGGGGAAATGAAGTGCTCTTTGCAATTCCTTGCAGGTTCCCTACTGCGCAACTGGGCCTGGTGGCCAGCACCACACAACTGGCCATAGCTTTCCCAGGTACAGACTGCCAGGGGGAGGGAAGGAGGGAAAGCTGATGACAAGGGGTTAGATAAAGTTAAGGTTAGCTGGTGGGTGGGAACAAGACAAGGAAGTACAAAAAGGGGAGAGGCTACGGGGGCTTTCAGGGAAGGAAACAGTGGGGAAGCGGAAAATGAGAGGATGCCCCCAAGTCTTTGCATGTGTCCCTCTCATTCCTCTCTATGTTGGATGTCTCCATATTTAACTGTTATAACCCAAGGAATAATAATGTCAAGTATTGAATTTGTACAGTTAATATAACTGATATTAACCTGTTTAAATCCTTGGCAGACAGACCCATTAATAAAATCAGTATAGTCAGAGTAGTCTTGCTCTCAGACAATTTTATATGCTACTTACTGGAAACCTGGAATGACAAATATGATGGATTATTCCTAGAGTATAAATTTCAAATAAATTGTTGGTTTTATTCTCCATCATTGTAGCTCACAGGTAGAGGAGCATATATCTATACCCTATATTTTGGTTTTCTAGTACATCTTTGCTACAGACATTTTAGCATTTGTTACTCTCATCACATGTATGAGATCAAAGCACTAATTAATATGGAATAACTACTAAAGATATTTTAATTCTGTACTGTTGTAACCAATCCTATACCCAAGAAGAATATACAGTTAATCTCATATTCATTCTCAAATGCCAGAAAGACCAATATTCATAGTTTGTACAAAATAGGCAGAAGACTATTTACAGACAGAAATGCTTAAACTTAACATTTCCAGACTATAGCTATAGGACTCAAGTATACAGCAAGCATTCTGCGCTACCCTTACCTGATTATTGTCTTCTTCCTCAGATACAGAATCAGGGTGTACAACTTCATTGTCTAAACTAGTGCAATCCACTGTTTCGGAGCAGTCGCCAAAATTCTCACCCTCTTTAGTAACGTTCTTTTCACTATTACCCCTACTAAAAGAAACAAAATGTTTTTTAAGGGAAGGGTAGTCATAAAATTTATCAATATTTGACTACATTTATTGGAAGAAAGAATTCCACATTCTTCTGGGGGAGGGAAGCTGTTTGTTTTATAATAATGGTATCTGGAGCACACATAACAGCATCTGAGTGCCAGAATGGTTTAGCAGTTAGGAGAAAGGATTAAGAGAAAGGAGACACCAGTTCAAATCCACCCTCTGCCAAGAAGCTCACTGAATTACCTGGGCTAGTCACTCTCTCTCAGCCTAAACTACCTCACATGGCTGTTGTGAGGATAACCTGGAGGAAGGGAGAACTATTTATACCGCACTGGGCTCCATGGAGAAAAGGCAGAATATAAATGCAGTTAATAATAACTTGTCAAATACATTAACAGGAGTCAATCTGATGACATTCAGAAAACAGAAAAGATTAACTGAAGGGCCCACCCTTCAAAACTTCTCTGCTATATCAACCCTTCCAGTCACTGTTATTTAGAGCTGACACAAATAACCCTACTCTGTCTCATACCCACCCATAGATTAGTTTTGGGAGTCATGGAAAGCTAAAGTAGTTCTCCTGCCCCACCCCCCAAATGGAGTAGGCACATCAGCAGGGTTGCCAGTCATAAAGTCCACCTTCCAAAGTGGCCATTTGCTCCAGGTGAACTGATCTCTATACCATGGAGATCAGTTGTAACCCCAGGAGATCTCCAGCCGCCACCTGGAGGTTGGCAACCCTACCCATCAGGCAGTACCTACATAGACATTCAACCAAGCTATCTTCAGATACATTAGTTTGAATCTCCAGATCATTGCTCAAACTTTTTCAGCTGACCCACTGTAACACTTTGTATTTGCTTTCACCAGCCATGGAAAGCAATGTCCTATGTATTTAGCTGGCCAAAGTAGGATATTACAACAGGTTATTTCCCCCCTAAGTTGTGCCACTTCAGAGACTGTTTTCTCCTAAAATAAAGAGATCTACTCCTCTGCTGGGTTTCCTCTCTCCCACAACTTTTTTTAAAACATGAGGGTTATCACTAAACAAACATATTAAATTGTTTAAGAATTTATTAAACGTGAGTGAAGTAAGTCACTTCTTATCAATTCAGTGAAGGGAAAAAACATGTAAAAAACCATCACAGCTTCTTGGTGTTAGTGTTTTAAAGGTAAGAATTAGTTCATAATTCATTTTTTTTAATTCATACCTATAGCAGATTTGAAGTTCTAAGAGGGCATGACCCCACTGAACATATACTGGAGGTCTTATGCATGCCAAATAGCAGCCCTATATCACTGTATTTCTACATTTATAAACATGTATAACCAATTATACCAACTATATGTATAAACAATTAATACAATTTGATGCACTTACATTATAATAGTACACTAAACTACAAACAATTAGTACATTCCATATGTTTAATACAATTCCAAGTGTTTACAATAAAATGGAACAACTAGTACTTCCTCTTTCTCTAGTATGATTTAAAATCCCGCTGATCCAAACAATAGGTTGATAAAATTCATTTTATGCAATTAATTGTGGTTTATATATCTAAATAAGCGGTATTATAAAATGAAATCTTACTGGTTGTTAGATCCTTCTTCATCCCCCTGAATATTTGCTTCATGACACACCATTCTGTGCTGTAAATTCTTGAGATCTTGATCTATGCTGCTCTGCAGATCAAAGAGGTGTTGTTCTACAGCTGCTCTAATAGTTCTTTCCAATATGCTTTTAAAAGAGAGATTATTCTTATTAATAAACTAATTTCTTAGTTTGGCCATTTCCCCCCAGCATACAGAGGTTATTTGTGCCAAAAGAAAAGCAGATTAAAAAGTATTCCAGACTGCTCAATGCATGGACATTTAATAACAATCCACTATATATTCTCAGCTAACTGAACAGTCTTCAGTATTTATCCCTTTCGAGAACTGCGGCTCTACAGTCAGTTTTGCTTACAGCACCTTCGCACAAAGTTGTCTTCCTTTGCTTAAGCTACATCATTTTCATCAGACTAATTTTTTGAAATGGCCTTTGAGATTAGGGCACCTTCAGTTCCTATTTCTAGGAATGCTTAAACACCTTCCTTTTTCAGAGGGCTTTCTGATGAGTCATCTGCTAATGCTGAAGACTACACTTAAGACATTAACTGAAGCAGATTTTCTGTTGGCCAGCTGCATTTTATATGAATGTTTGGGTTATGTCTTTATCAGATTTTTCTGCCATACTGCTAGCTTCTTGAAATCCCTAGAGGAAGGCATGGTACAAATATTATACTAAATTGATCTATCTAGCAATCAAAGAAACAGGGACATTAAGGCTAGTGATGAAGAATCATGAGGCCTGAAGAGAAGGTGGAAAAGAGAGAACCCAGTGGGGAAAAAATCTCAGAACCTGTGAAAAGAAAAGGCCGTATGGCCAAATGGGGAATAAACAAGAAGAGCAATTTGAAAGCTCAGGAGTTTCCATAATACAAAATGGTGCTGGTTAGAAGTACTTATTACTCCCTATAATTTTATACTTACTCTGCAGAGGCTGGCAAGATGCTTATGGGGGAGAAATGAGCACTGTAATAAAATAAAAAGAAATGATGAGCTCTCTTTACCATAGATTCACAATATCAAACAGTTGTGGAATTTGCAAACTCCCAAGCTGATAGATCTTACATCTTTCTCAGAGAGTGCTTCTGGCTCACTAGTTGACCTCTACCTTCAGTACCTAAAACTCACTCCTGATTTCACTTCAGGCAGAGTCCTGGGGCAATGTAATGTCTGAACATGGCCTCAAGTCATTACTAAACAAAGGAATTCAGGCTGCAATATCATACTGTCAAAATAACTATCAAGTGATTAGGTACTGCTGAGGCTGCAGAAGTAAGATGTAATTAACTTTTTAGGCAGTGCAAACTGTCCAATGTATTAACCAGCTAATTCAAACTGCAACAATGTCTAGTTAAAATGCCTCAACCATTTCTATTAACCATAAAGTCCTACTTTGTACATTAGTACATATCAGACTAATTTGATAATAATTTGTCTGAACTGTCAAGGAGTTTTATGAAAACACAATTAAATTTCAGTGGCAACAAGACCTTCAAATCACAGACCTAGGGAAAGGGCAGATCATAAATCCAGAAGACAATTTATATTTTTTTAAAAAGTTACTTTTCCTCATCTTTCAGGAGGCAACAACCTAGTCAGAGAAGAAGCCATGGAACAAATTCATACCTCCAAACACCAGTTACTATTAACAGCTACTAAAAAGTATCTCCACAGCAGCATACGTCAAACACCTATATAAGTAGTACCGCTCAAATCAGAAATATTAACCTTTTAAACTGATATATCAGAAGTGTTTTGACACCAAAACTCAAAGACACACCAACATCAGCAGTACCAGAGGCAGTCAGGGCTAGGGTTGCAGCACTGGTCATCTCTTGGCCAACCCCAAATATTTTGCTGACACTGGGAGAAAAGCAGAGGAATGGGGGTTTGGGGGGAACTGCCTCGGCCCCCAATACTGTATTTGTTAGGTTACAATATAGATGGGGTGCCCAAAATACAGTGGGATCTTTTGTTACAGTTAATAGTAGCACCAAGAGTTGACAAACTATCAAGACTGAAACAGAATAACTGAAAAAGACATATACAATGAGTTTATTTACTCAACACTGCTCTCCTTTTACTGAATACCGGAGCAATAAAAGATACCAGTCCTACAAAATACTGGACTAGTGGTATTTCCACATTAATGAAAACAACTGATATAGCCAGGAAAATCAGAATGGCTTTTAAAGATGTGGGAATTGTTATCAATAGTCAAACTAACAGCAATTAAAAATTCTAAGAATATTCTTCATGATAAAAATTGGCAACAATTGGCAGCATTTTTTTAAAAAAGCTCCTTCTGCTGTTAGAAATGGATATGAAAGGAATCTCTCCCTTATTATAATTGAGTAGTGGGCACCAAAATTCTAAAATGCCCGCCTTTAGTGTTTGGCCGGAAGAACTGCCACTCAGAAGACACTGGCTGGGTTGACTGGCTGCTTTGTGCAGTCCCGCCCAGCGTTCCAAGGTCATTTGCATATGGAAGCTGATTGGACTTCACTCCATTCCACACCTCAAACTCCCCCCCTCCCCCGCAAGGCAGTTGGGATTTTCAGTTGCATAACATACCTCATAGGGGAGAGGAGAATGATGTCAGCTGCCCTTTCCCTAGGCAGAGGCTGTGTGTGTGTGGGGGGGGGGTTTTGTAAAACTTAAGACTGACAGGCAGATAAACGTTGGCTGATAGTTGCCAGGAAAGGACATAGGGTTGCCAACTCCAGATTGGCAACTTCCAGGATATTTTAGGGATGAAGCCTGCTGAGGGTGGGGTCTGAGGAGGAGGAGGAAGAGGGGGACCTCAGACAGAAACAATGCCATACTGCCCACACTCCAGACAAGCTGTTGCCAGTCTCCAGGTGACAGCTGGAGAGATCTTAAAGCTTTGGTGCTAATTCAAAGTGTTGCAATTTATTGACAGAGTAGTGTTTTGGAAAATCTTGAGGAATTGTTTGGTGCATTTACGATGGGGCTCCTGGGGAACTATTGTTGCCAATCTTGGCCCAGCAGCCATCAAACCATTCTCTTCAACCCCCTGCTGTGCAGCTGACTTCCCCCTAGGGTTGCCAATCTCCAGGTGGGACCTGGAGATCTCCCACTGCTACAATTGATCTCCAGATGACAGAGATCAGTTCCCCTGGAGAAAATGGATGCTTTGGAGGGTAGACCCTATGACATTATACCTGCTGAGTCCTTCCGCCGCCCCCCTTGGTCCTGTCACCTACTTTGGCCTTTGGGAGAAAACACATTGGGGCCAGTCCTGATAGGGTTGCCAACTCCAGATGGGAAATTCCTGGAGATTTGAGGGATGGAGCCTGAAGAGGGTGAGGTTTGAGGAGGGGTGGGACCTCAGACAGGTACACTGCCATAGACTCCACCCTCCAAACCAGTCAGTCCCACATAGGGAACCATTGTTGCCAATCTCCAGGTGAGGGCTGGAGAGCACTCAGAATTACAACTGCTCTGCAGAAGGGAGGGCAGAAGTCAGCTGAAGTCAAAGGGGCAGATAATGGTAGGTTGATGGTTAGCTGGGAAGGAGATGGGGTTGCCCCTCCACCCTCCAAACCAGCCATTTTGTCCTGGGTAACAATTGCTGCCAATCTCCAGGTGAGGGCTACAGATCACTCACAATTACAACTGCTCTTCAGGTAGCAGAGATCAGTTCCTCTGGAGAAAACAGTGGACTCTGTCATTATACCCTGCTGAGGTCACCACAGCAAATTAACACTGTTTGCCCAAAGCCAGAGCACTGCCCCAGAGCCTCTTTCTAGATCTCGTTGTATTGCTTTCACTACGGGCTTTACTGCTAGTAACTATATAACTGTGTACATTCTCTTCCTTCGTTTTTGTCAACTGGATGTGTTTCCTCCATATATTGGTTCTGATTACGTACCATTGTATTTTGATACATCTCCCTTGCAAATAAAAGCCGAATGGTGGTGGCACTTCTCTAGAACATTCCACACGCCCCAAAATCAGTTCGCTCTCTGATCTGTCATTCAGAGGGTCTCCCTATCCACTGGCTGCTTTGCCTGAGTCCTGCCTCCAACATTCTAAACATTTTGCTAATCCTCTCCCCCCCCCATAGCCAGTCAGAACACAGAGGTTATTTGCATATGCAGCCTCATTGGCCTCTGCCTCGGAACACAGAGGTCGTTTGCATATGCAACTTGATTGGCTTTTGCCTCTAACATTCTAAACAGTTTTGCTGTTCTGAGGTAAAATGTGTCCAATCTCCAGGTGAGGGCTGGAGATCACTCAGAATGACAACTGCTTTCCAGGTGGCAGAGATCAGCTCCCCTGGAGAAAATGGTGGGCTCTGTATCCTTATATGCTGCTGAGGTGGCCCCCATATGACAGCCAATGTGACATAGCACTGAGGGCTTCAGAGCACGGGAGAGGCTGCAGGTGTGTGGGGGGTGGAAAGCTGAAGAGTGAGGGGGAAATAAAGGTAGGTTGATGATTGGCTGGGAAGGAGACAGGGTTGCCAACTCTAGGTAGGAAATTCCTGGAGATGTGAGGGATGGAGCCTGAAGAGGGTGAGGTTTCAGGAGGTGTGGGACCTCGGACAGGTAGAAAGCCATAGTCTCCCCCCTCCAAACCAACCATTCCCTTCTGGGGAACCATTGTTGCCAATCTCCAGGTGAGGGCTGGAGATCACTCAAAATTACAACTGTTCTTTAGGTAACAGAGATCAGTTCTTCTGGAGAAAATGGTGGACTCAGTGTCATTATACCCTGCTGAGGTTGCCACAGTAAATTGACACTGAGTGTCCAAGTCCAGGGCACCCGCCCAGAGCCTCTTTCTAGAGGCCGTTGTATTTATTTCCACAACGAGCCTTTTTCCTACTATAGAGACAGAGTACTGGCCCAGTATATTAGATTTTGCAGCTCAGTATAGAGTTATATATACACTTACTATAATGTTGCAGTTATATGTTGGTACGTATTAATGGTATATAGGTAATGTTCTTGTTGATCTGTTTTTCTGTACTTTAAAAAGGCAATTGAAAACCAAAAAGAACTGTGACGATGTGATACTAGTAAATTTCTTTATGAGCCAAAATTAGACAAAAAGTGAACAGTATAGTAGTAAATGTCTGTACAATACCAATAGCCCACGGAACGCTCTACTAGGAATCACAGCTATTATGAGTGTTGAATCAACATTGATACCTATGAATTTTTTATATGTCACCAGAGGAAATTAATTGTTGAGAGACAGTATATGTCACACATCTTTGTTCAGAAGAAGATCAACCAACGAAACAGCAAGACATTCCGGAGACCACCATCTACATTTTCTACTATTTTGTTATATTTACTACTATACTGTTCACTTTTTGTATAATTTTGGCTCTTAAAGAAATTTCTAGCGTCACATTGTCACAGTTCTTTTTGGTTTTCGATTGTCTTATGACTGTGCCAATCAACCTGATATTATAACCTGTAAAAAGGGAAAACAAAAAACAAAACAGGAACAGAGATTTGGGGGGTGGGAGTGGAGAGACCCAACTAGAGAGACTTCCAGATCATCCATTTCCAGGTCAGAAGCCAGCTGACCACAAAGGGGACAACACCTTTAGATTATCATAAAGGCAGGGCACTCTGAATTGTCTGGGGGAGGAGGGGTGATGTAGGTTGTTTGGTAGACTTTTAAAGAAACTGTCTGATACAGGTTCATTTTGTGGTATGGTGGGATATAGCACCACTATCCAGTTAGTAGCAGGCAAAGAGAAATTTGCTATTTGGAGGGGATGAGCCATGTCAGAGAAAAGAGGTACAGACATTATATCTGTGCCTCATTTCAGTTGCTTTCTGAACCAAAAATGCCAGCCTGCCATTGGGTCTCCAATTTCAAATGTATCTGGCATTGGGGACATGGGACAAACCCGGCATCGACTGGTTTATCAGACATAAAGGTGCCTAATGATCTCCCTACCTGAGGTATTAGCAGTGGTCTTA